GTGGACTAAAGAACTAAAAGCCCTGCGAAAATCAGCTAGCATGGCTTTTAGGGTATTTAGAAAGACGTCTAACAGGGGGCCCTCGGCTACCCGGCTAGCGTCTTTAGAAACCTCCTGGAAAGAAGCTCGAAACGCCTACTATAGGGCGGTAAAAACAGTAAAAACAACCACTAAGAGGCCTTCCTACCCTACGCCGAAGGCCCCGAGATTTTTAAGGCCTATAACTATATAAAGAGCGGCCTTAACGCGAAATTCCCACCGATCCAAACACCTATAAAGTAGAAGGCCTACGCCTTCGAAGATAAATACAACGCAATACTCTAGACCCTTTTTCCAGCACCCTCCGCCACCAATTCCCCCGAAGTCCCTGTATTGATAGGCCCTTCGGGGGGCCTAGGCCCCTTTCTACCCTTTTAACGGTCTCTAGAGCCTAACTAGATCACGTAGTAAGGGCCTTAGAAGACCGTGGGAGTGGCCTAGTCTATAGACTATCGAGCTATAACGCGCGACTTTCAGAGCCACTAAAGGGAAGGCCCCTAGACCTAATAGAATAGGCTTAAAACCGATCAAATAGGCCTACAAGGCTATTCCCGGGCCCTTTTTATAGGCCTACTTAGCGCTCTTTTCCGCAGGGTATTACCCTACCTGCTAGAAAAAAGCCCTCGGGGTTATTCTACCGAAGCTAGGGAAGAAGGACTATTTATATCCTAAGTCTTATAGGATTATAGCCCTTCTAAACTGCTATAGGTAAAGTACTTGAACGGGCTATAGCTACTAGGCTAAGCTTTCTAGGTAATACTCACGACGACCTTCTACACTCTAGTTAAATAAGGGGTAGGAAATAGCGCTCTGCTATCGATACGGCCCTTCTCCTCCTTTACTAAATTAAGAAGTAGCCTAAATCACGCTAAAATCCTTTGATTTCTACGTTATTTTAGATATTAAAGGAGCCTTCGACCACGTCGCCCGTCCCTAGTTACTTAGGACCCTTTAAGAACTCTAACTACTCCCGAACCTAGTTAAATAGGTAGCTTCTTTTACTGAAAACAAGAGTATCTAACTAGCCTTCTACGGGAGGTTTAGCAGCCTAACCCCCTAAATATAGGGGTCCTATAAGGCTCCACGGTTTCCCCTATCGTATTACTGATTTATATTAGGAAGGCTATAGCAGGGCCGGACTTTTAGGGTCTTTAGCTCTCCTATATCAACGAGTTTTAGCTATCTATAGCGTCTACGTTGTCCAGGAAAAACTGTAAGACCCTAGAAAAAGCCGTAGCCTCCCTTTTCAAAGCAGTAAATAGTAACTAAGTTCTATTCGACGACCGAAAAACAGAGTTTATTCACTTCTATAGAAGACGCTCTAAAGAAGACGCTCCGTTAACTATAGGAGGGCACCTAGTAAAACTAGCTCTAGGTGCTATTAGGTGCTTAGGGGTCTAGTTCGATCTTAAACTATCCTTTAAACCCTACTTCGAAAAACGTCTAAATTTAGCTGCAGGGGCCCTAAACAGGTTATATAGGCTGGCTAGCTCGTAGAGGGGCCTTTCTTTTAAGGCCCTAAGGCAGCTATATATAGCCTGTATTATCTTATTAGCTGATTTTGAATGGCAGCTCTGGTAGGACCGTAAATCACCGAAAGAACAGCTAGTGGACCGCCTAGAACGTCTATAGTACGGCGCTTTAGTCCGGGCCCTAGGGGCTTTTAGGGGGGCCTCTTTACGGCCTTTAGAGCTCGAAGCAGCAGTTCCCACGGCAGCGGTTCGGTTGATTAGGTCTACTAGGCTCTATGCCCTTATAACCTTAAAGTTCCTACTAAACCACCCTATTAAACGCTAGTTCCTCGCTAGCGTTTAAAAGCACATAGGGGACGAAAGCCAAAACCTCGCCCTTCTTTAGAATCTATACCCTACTACACAGCTATATAGGCTAGGCGAAAACCTATAGCGTACCTAAGACTTTTTTTCCCCTTTAAAGACCTGGTCCCTGGCCCTGGCCCCGAAAACCTGGATCAGAAAAGAGCCTACCTCGAAGCCCTCGCTAAAATACACTATAACTTAGGCGAATAGCCCGCTGTTTTCTATACCGACGGCTCCCTAGGCCACACTACTAGACCCCTTACAGGGCCCTTGTAGGCGATAGCCGCTGTGATATAGTGGACTAATACTGGGAGGCCCTGTAAAGCTATAGGCTTTAACCTTAGGGCCGCTGCGGAAGTCGCGGACGCTGAATTATAGGCTATTATTTAGGCCCTTTACGCTGCGCTAGAGTAAACGCCTAGGCCCCTAGAGTGCTATATCTTTAGCGATTTATAGACGGCTATTCAGAAGCTTTAGCGCGCCTTATAGTGCGCTATAGAACCTAAAGACCTTATCTTACACCTTAAATAACTAGGCACTTCGGTTTCTATATAGTAGTGTCCCTCGTATATAGGGATAGAGGGTAACGAATTAGCGGATAAGGTGGCTAAAGGGGCGTTAAACCCCGAAAAAGCTACTAAATCCGTTAGCTTAGTTACCCTTAGCCAACTAGAACGCCGGGTAAATAAAGCCCTTATTTAAGACTAGAAAGTCCTATAGAATTATAAAGAGGAGGCGGAAAAGAAAGGTAAATCGGTACGCCTAGGCCGCCTTTATAGGCGCTTAGTCCGCGATAACCTCCGTTTCTCCCGAACACCACTATTAATATAAGGCCTTATGTGGGTAAAATCGGCTTTTACGTAGCTAAAAGCCGGCTTCGGATACCTGAAAACCCACTAAAAAAGGGCCTAAAACTACGATAACGACTGCTATTCCTATCTCGGCTCCGCTATATAGGATATAGTATACCCTATTCTCTTCTGCCCTTTTTATAAAGACGAACGAAAACCCCTGGGGGAAGCCTTAGTAGGCCTACTGCTATCTCTACTACTATTATTCGGTACTAAAAGAGCAGTATAGGCCCTATAGGTGTATCTTTTAGCTTCTACAACAGCTTCGGCGGAGTGGTATAGGACGTAAACCACGATTTCTGCAGTCTAATTATTTTGCTTTGGTTTTTACCTATTAGGCCTATTAGGCAGATTATTACGGAGGATTTCCTTTGTTTATTACCACTATGCTTTATTTTACTATACCTAGCTTCTGATAGTCTTTAGCCCTTAGGGCGATAGGCGCCGCGCTATAGCTTTAAGGCTGCACGCGCGTAATGAATCAAAACAGAAAAAACAAAAGGCTTTAGTTCGAGGTATTAAGGGATTTAGGAATAGACTTAGAGGCTAGGTTCGGAAAAGCCGAGAGGCCGGCACGGATCGGGCGCTCCTAAGGATAGGAGTATCCGGGGGAGGTCGTTATATTAGGTACCTATAGCAGTCGTTATAATAAGTTCTAAGTATAAACCTATTAGCGTCAAGCCGCTCTTGGTCTAAGACCTCTTAAGGGGGTATATAAAGCATTTATGAAATAAGTAAACAGAATAGTCTCTTAATGTAAACAGAGTAGTCCTTAAGGAGTAAATAAAGTAGCGGATAGAGGTAATCTTAAGGAGCGAAGGAGTCTCCCCTTAGGAAAGGGAGGCCAGCGATTAATATAATTCCTTAGTTATATATATATTCTAATCCTACTATAAACCTATTATAAGCCTATCTGGTTCCTTACCTGACCCTACCTTTTCACTCTTTACGACTATCTATTTAATAATAAGTAACTAAAGGCCTTCTAATAACATAGTAAGCACCTAGAAAACGCTATCACTCATACTCTAAATACCTAGATCACGCTCTTTAAAGAGAAGCTTATTAGTTCCGAGGTGAATTAGATCTCTTGCTTTGGTTACATATATATAATAACCTTAATCGTAGAATTCGGGCAAGCGAGCCTGAAGTTCTTTATTTCTACTTCCTTTAGCGATTTCGCCACTATTTTTCGGAAGCTACGGCTTTACTAGGAGTACTAGGAAAAAGAGTTTTTAACTGAGAAGGCACGCTCACAGAATAAGGTGGATTTTACTAGCTTAATTATGCTTTTCTCTCTAGTTCGAGAAAGGATTATTCTATAAGCACTCAAGGCGATTTAATAACAGGTTAAGTTACTACCTAAGCCTAAGAGGAACGATAATCAGCTACCACGCCTAAAGATAGCCTACCTTTCCTGCTTATTGCTAACCTCTTATAGGTTACCCTGCCTATATATTCTATTTAATCACTTACTAAATACTAAGCCGTTATAGCTATAATCGACTAATCGGTATTAGTAATAGAATAGGCTATTACATCCGGAGGTAAGTCTTTTATTTGAAAAAGCCATAGCTATGCCCTTAAATCTAGTCCTTATCTAAGGTAAAGGCCGCCCTAAAGGGGCTGTTACGATATCTTTAACTAATCGTGCTTAGGGCTAAGGTAAGACTAATACTAAGAGACTAGCTTTATGCTTTGAAATCGTAGCTTAATATAAGCTTTTAGAGGTAATAGCTACGCCGCCTGCTTTAACCGCGTCTTCGGCTCTAATTTTAACGACTATATCGATCTTTAAATCGGGAATAATCGAACCTTATTCGTGCTAATAGGCTATTAAGGCACGTACTAATAAACCGATTAAGGTAGATAAAACTCCTACGAACTCGGCCAAGTATACTATAGGGTATCTTTGTACTCGGTTTAAGGTCTTTTTCGATAAGCAGTTAAGATTTTAAGAGGAAGAGAAACTTATAGCTCTTCGAGCTATAAAGGAACTTAGGGAATTTCACGAAATCGCGATATAAATAGCTATAGTTCTGTCTAATTAACGGATATCGTATATTACTTAATTAATATATATACCGAATATTCCTGCATTTATACCGCCCCGGAAAATATACATATTTAAGATAGGATATTCGGGTCCCGGGTTATAGTAGATCATTTAGGTGCTACGTATCCAAACGGTGGGTGCTGTTTAGCCTTACGGTATAATAAATGTGGACATTGTTAGTGGTATAGGTTGCTCGGAGGGTCATTGTTCCGTTTCCGCATGTTTAACGTGTCGAGACACCTGTGTAACTCGGCGTATGCTTTTCCAGGTCCTTGTATGTATCGTCTCGTGTTGCTGCGGTTTAACAACGTTCGTCGAGCTCTCCCAGTTTTACTACTCCCTGTCGCCTAAGTAACAGACGGTCTGTTTATGACAGGACACCCGCCCTCGCCATTTTACCGCACGCCCTCTCCGAGAGTTCTGGCCTTCAAGGCTCTATCCCCCGCACTGCCACTCTCCACCAGGTCATATCGAGGTGCACCTTAGCTATACCACCTTGTCACCATGGTAGACAGATTTCCATCTCTGGAAGAGTTCGATTCTGTCGGTACGCAGGCCTCCACCGCCCATCCTCTGCAGAGCAACGCTAACTAATGGAAACGGATTACAGTCGAAACAGACATCAAACCTTCCGGTATAGAGCCTTCCGCTGAAGACTTCATCGCCCGTGAAAAGGCCTTCTTAGGTGATGACGCTGAGCAATTTGCTGGCAATAACAATGGTTCCACCTTAGAGCTCGGACATGACTTCCTTGCTGGTGACAATGCCGAACAGCAGAAGTCAACTCATGTGTCGGACTGCCCCAATGTTGGAAACGAGCACGAGGTCAGGCAACTTCCTACTTACTAATCACTTCTTCGTTCTAACCTCTTAGGTGTTTCCAGTCAGTTGCCTCTGCTGGAAATATTACCAAACCCAGTATCGATTTCAAGTCCGGCTTTCAAACGACCGTCGAAGACGAAGCAGAGCCGGAGGTGACCAAGGAATGGCGGGAGCGCCGCGATGTACAGATTCAGAAGCGTGCGGAACTATACGCTGCTCAGCGGGAAGAGACGATCAAGGAAGCGCAGCATCAGATTGATGACTTCTATGAAAATTACAACAGCAAAAAAGAAAAATCCATCGCACAGACACGTAAGGACGTGGAGCAATTCATGGCCAATCGAGAGGATACTGTATCTGGCGGCACCAGCTGGGAGAGAATTGCGAAGCTCGTGGATGTCAGTGGCAAAGGACTCAAGGGTGGTGCAGCTGGTTCTGGCAAGGAGCGCTTTCGTGAGTTGCTCGTCAGTTTGAAGAAAGACAGCAAGGCTCCTGGAGCCGAAGGCTACTAGGGAAGGCCAAGTCTCGTGATTTTTACAGGCCTTGACCAAAACCCCAGAAGATCATGCTCGATCTACTTCCGGCCATTGGCCTTACTTAGTATCCTAATATGGACATGAGTCTTGAAGAAAATTCCCTCGCACCGGTGGACTTTTTTGGAGCAACGACAACATATGAGTTGGTGTCGTGCGATTGACGATGAACTCCAATTTGCTCTCGATTACTTCACATTTGCGTCTCAATTGAATGTGTATTGAGATCTATGTATTGGACACAACTTCCCTCACTCCACATAACATCGAACTGGACTAGTTCTGGCCGAACCAGGTGTTGTGGCCGGAAACCTTTCGGGCGCCCATGTAGACGGAACCTGAAACATCAAGGTAAGCGCAAACCGATGTATGAATTGAAGGCATTCAACATACCAGCAAATCCCCCCCAAAGAAGGGCAAGGTACGGTACCATGTAATACTTCGAGCGCGGGTTCTGCGGCTTTGTGTTAGCGCCAATCGAATGTCCAGTTTCGAGGCATTCAAGACGCGGGCAAAATGGGGTGTACTAGGAGACGCACAATCTTCCACAAGCGTTGATGGTTGTTGTAGGCGGCTTGGTAGAACCTCTGGTGCTCGGGCACCTTGTTCCTAGCGTTAACGAGACTGTGATTTATGAGCTGAGGTATCCCGACACAGGTTCAATACGGGAGCAGTAAATCGAAAGCCCTCTGCTGAGCAACTGAAGTTTCGAGACTAACCTCATTGTTGATGTTTGAAGCTGCAATTGCTTCGTGGAGGAGTAACGGAAGTAATGGTATGTTTATGAAGAAGTGTAGGTTCTGAATGTGGATATTGTGTCGAGCAACGGCTCAACAACCTTGGTAAGACGGCCGAGTCCGGGAATCAGGTGATTAACCGACAAGTCCTTTTCTGGTCCGAGCCCAGATTACAGATAAACTGATATCTAACTAGAGGGCTTGGCTGATAGTGGTTATAGGGCTATAACGTTAAGCTAAGGGTTGCTATAGGGCAGGGTCCGTGCCGTGTTATATAACCTGCGTGTATGCCTAAGTAAGTATTAGGTATTAATAGGAGGGGTAAATAAGTAAGTAAGGGGTAAATAACTTAATAAAGTGGTGATAATCGAACGTATAAAGGGAAACGGTTAAGAAACGATTAAGAATTAAATAACTAGTAATCCGAAGACCGGAAAGCGTTTCGGAAACGAGTTAGAAATTTTCTTTATTATATTTAAGATAGATCCAGATATATACATTAATGTATATAGCGAGATTTATAAAGATAAACTGCTACTAGACCTAGGATAATATAATAATAAATTCTATAATACTAGATTCCTTAAGAATAAGAATCGAAGACTCTATCTTTATAGACTTTATCTAAGTCGTTATATAGCCCGAGACGTAATTTAACAGAATAAAGTAAAGCAGGTATATATACACTAAATACGTGTAAACGACTAGTTATAGGTCGTGGCACTATGTAAGGTCGTAATAATAGATTATCTAGAAGTAAGGGAGGAAGAAGGAAAAGGAGAAAAGTCTATAGCGCTAGGCTAGCTATAAGGTAGCGATGACTTAGCGATATAGGTCCGTTAACAGCGCGTAGTCAGGAAGATCCGGAGTATAGCCAGATCCTCTATATCGGTGTTAACCTGTAATAATACGTCTATATATTTATCCTTCCTAATAGAAAAGTAGATTCTATCTAAGACCGAGAGTAGCTCGATTCTAATATGTATAGCTATTTATACTAATAGGAGACTTACTATCGGCTATCGGGCTATACTAGTTAATCGTTTCCGGTACGTAGTTAGTATTCTAGAAATACCTAAAACTCTCGATACAGGTATTATAATTATTATTCTAACTAACATTCTAGATAACGAAAAGATGAAAGCTCTATAGATAATTATAAGTTTTAGTTTTATTACTACTTTATTAATCCTAATATTCTTTAGATCTAATATAAGATTACCCGGAAGCACCCTAACTTTCTTACTATAAGTATTATACTAAGTACTACTACTATACGACGATATACCTTAACCTATTAAGGAGGGAAAGCGTGTTAATATCTTCTTCTAAATAAATTCTTGTATATATAAGTTACTTCAGAGCTCTTTAACTAAATGAGTTAACGAAGAGCTAAGGTAAAAGAATATATAGTATGGATAAAACCTATAGGGTGTCAGGTGCCTGCAGTAGTGGTCACAATAGGTCCCTAGTGTGAACCCACAGGGGTCCAGGTATACCTAAGTCTAAGACCCCTCGAGGCATAAATAAAGTAAGTTATTATATAGTAAATAGAATAGCCCCTCGAAGTAAATAAGGTAGCCCTCGAGGAAGTAAATAAAGCAGTCCTCGAGGAGTAAAGGAGTAGAGCGTAGTCTTAAGGAGTGAGGGGGCCTCCCCTTTATAAAGGGAGGCTAGCGATTAATCTAACTTTTTAGCTATACCTATATTCTGACTCTATTATAATCCTATCATGACTATACCTGGTTCCTTACTTGACCCTAACTTTTCACTCTTTATAACTACCTATTTAATATAGAGTAAGTAAAAACCCGTCGAAACTATTTTATATGAGGACTTATTGTTAGAATATACAGTGTTTATACGTTGCCATAGGACTAGCACCAGACTTATATATAGATAGAGGGATCGTAGTTAGGTCAGACCGTTAAAGACACAACGCGTCGAAGTTAAGTAAGCTGGTTAGCTTAGAAGTTAGCTGAGATCTAGTAAGCCGGTCAGCTTAGGAACCAGCATACGCCTAAACTTAGTCCTAAGGAGGCCTCTTACTACCTATTTAGTTAGGAGACCTTAGGTAGGTATAAAGAGAGGAGTGTCTTTCATAGTTCCTAGAGTCTCGCGAGGACTTAACGAATAATCTTATCACGATACCCCCTCCTTAGTTCTTATTAGTCCCTAAGTGATCTTATATCGCTCTGTAATAGCCTATTACTGCTTATAGTACACCTATAATATTTTATTCGTTCTCCCCTTCGATACGGGTATAACGACTAACAGGAATTATAACGACTAGTTCCTAATAGAACAGTACGAGGTTATTATACCTTAACGCACTAATCCGCTAGTTCCCCCTCCTATAGGACTGATAGACGATAACGAGAAAGGATCCTCTTCCCTTTTACCCCCTCCTTCCTCCGATAGCGTCCCTAACCCTAATATTCCTAACCCTAAAGGATAAGGGGATAACCGTGTAACGCGAAGTGCTTACTTAGATCTCTAGAGTCTCCCTACGATAGACCTCTAAGATACCGAGCTTATAGTAAAGACCCGTCGTTTTAAAGTATATTTTAAAAGAAAAAAGAAAGAACGCCGACTCGAACTTCTACGTAGCGGTATTAACCCCGATACTATTACCCCTACGACCTCCTAGGAGCCCTCCTAGTCCTTTTTAGGTATACCTATATAAGGTAATAAGGTAATTAAAATAAACGTGGATATCCCTAAATAGGATAGAGTATCTTACGATAGATAACTTATATTCGTTAAGAATATTAAGTCCCGGATCGCTATAAACCCTAATTATTTTCGTACTAAACTACCTAAAATCTTCTACGCCTCTAATAGTCTCCTATAGACTACTAAGTCACTATAGCGTTAGTATTAGAGGACTACCTTCGGATATATAAATCGTGAAGGAGGAGGTATTTAGGAAGATATAAAAAAGTTCCTCGCTAGTCTATTAGTTAACGATAATACCCGGGAAATATCTATCACGGAATAACTATTCTCCGACTATATACGGCAGAAACTAGACTAATCCTACGATAGATTCCAAGACTTTATAAATAGGCTTTTTATAGAAGTTCCTATTATTCTTAACGATAAAATTCGTATATAGTTAATTCTTAATAAATTATAAAAGCCCCTTAAAGACCGGATCCGTGCTAGAGGATTACCGAAGTTAGTTAAAGAGCTCTATATAGCCGCCCGCTAAGCCTAGGTTACCTCAATTCAGGATACAGAGGATAATAACTAACCTCGCTCTTCCCTACCGGCCTACTAGCGGGCTAAGCGTAACGATAAGCGGAAAAGATAGTCGAGCCCTTCACGTGGTCGTAACCAGAATAACACTAAGGGTATTAAAGGATAAGACGAGGACATGTTGGATAAACCCTAGAAGAACCCCCGGACTAGTCTATTAACCCCTATTCAGGAAATCGAGTGTTTGTACTATTACGAGAAAGGCTATTATCGCTCCTTATACCTAAAGAACCCTAGGAAGACGAGTTAGACTGCTAATAGGCCTTTAAATAATCCCTAGAATAAGTCGATAAATGCTAATTCTATACTAGTAGATCCTAAGAGAAACACTATAATAGGTTAAGTGCAGGTTATACCTTCTAAGGAACCCTTATAATAGGAATATACGCTGTCTATATCGGCACCTCTTTTCTATAGTCCCCTAAAGGTGTAACTTAGTTTACGATAAGGCGGTGTATAATAAGATAGCGAATAGACCTCTTACCGTACTTATATAGACTTAGATTCGGACTTAGACGTTATTACCCACGCTAGCCTTTTACCAGGTTACGAACCCTTAGGACCTACTAAGGACGTCTTATAGTTAGTACTAGGTTAGTAGGTAAAGACCTACGGTATTATAAAATTAATCTACCGGATTATAGATAGTTAGGGTAGGACCCGAGCCGAAACTATTATATTTTATATTATAGATTTAGACCCCTATAGTGCTTAGATTATCCTTAGTCTCCTATAGCTTTAGTCCTATAGTCCTAGTATCCACTAAAATGATAAGACGTGGACTTCTTATCTTTAGAAGTCCGAATTAGCTCGTATTACTATAACTCGTTAGCTACGGAAGGCTATTAACCGCGCTACCACGGTAGTCCCTTTAATAGTATAGACTACCACGGCCGTTTATCCTACGCGTCTAGGCCAGATTATAATTACTACCCAGAACCCTCCTTAAGACTACTAAGAGTATATCCAGAACCCCCCTAGCCCCCCTAATAATGATACCCTCCCTAAACTATACTAAGATTTTACTAATATTTTTAATATAGTCGAAGCCGGTCGCCTCCTACCGCACTATAAGTAGGACTACGCTATTAAACTTAATAAAGGTAAATCGCCCCCCTTTAGTCCTATTTACGCCTTAGCCGAAAAAGAACTCGTAGTCTTAAGGGAGTATATTAAAGATACTTTAGCGAAATAATGGATCCGGCCTTTATCCAGTCTAGTAGGCGCCCCTATCCTTTTTATTCCGAAGAAGGGTAGAAAGCTAAGACTATATATAGACTACCGAGGACTTAATAAGGTAACTAAGAAGGACCGTACGCTACTCCCGCTAATTTATAAGATTTTAGACCGCCTATCCTATTCTACGATCTATATAAAGTTAGACCTTAAGGACGCCTATTACCGGTTACGGATCCGAGAAGGCGATAAATAGAAGACCGTATTTCGGACTAAGTACGGGTATTATAAGTATCTAGTAATACCTTTTAGTCTTTATAACGCTTCTACCTCCTTCTAACGGTATATTAATAAATCTCTACGAGGACTTATAGACATTATTTACGTTATCTACCTAGATGATATCTTAATCTACAGCTTAGCCGTAGTATTATATCGCCGATATATAGGGAGTATCCTATAACGGCTATAGGAATAGTCCTTATACGCTAATCCGAAGAAATATATCTTTAAGGTTTAAGAGGTAGAGTTCCTCGGGTTTATCTATAGTCCTTATAGTATCTTTATAGACCCTAAGCGGGTAAAAGCTATTCGGGATTAGGAAGAGCTAAACACGAT